AAAGAATCTATTATAGTAATATTTTAAACATTGAATTATCTGGTGTCTGAACAATTAAGATAGCAGCCATTAACGACCAGTACTTCTTTTTTTTAATTTCTATCGAGAATTATTAAATTTTAAAAATGATAACATGAACAAAGTAATTTGCTTGTATTTCTTTGTTGTATAAAATTATTCGTTGTTCGCCCCTCGATGAATATATGATTACCCATAAAAACAGGTATTTATTGACAGTATCTTTAAGTTACATTTATCTATACAATACTTAAACTATTATTGTTGTACTCATTTTTAGTTTATTTCTATTGTTGTCATAAAAATGTACTTTGATCACAAACAAAATTTGTGAGAAAAGATCAATCCTATTAAACTAAAGCTTATAAGCTGATCTTTGATAGACATTTCTTTAAATAAGAGCCTTACACAGAAACTTATATATAGATTTGCATCTGAAAAAAATCAACGAAAGAATATTCTGATTTATGAAGCCATTAAAAGTACGAACACAACACAATAGGGGTTGATTAAATACGATCACATGCATACTTTTATTACGTTCTATATTTGTGTTTTTTTTAGTTGCATTATAGTGGTTTCGTATTATTCATCTTTTAAAAATCCCAAAAAATTTTATAAATATCATAAGAAAAAAAACAAGAGAACTTGTCTACATCACTTAATCTCTTGCTAACATTCATAATAAGACTTTTATAATTCACTAAGCTGTTAAAATTTACCTTCCTGAAAAAAAATATCCAAATCCAATTCCATCTAGAAAACTTCAGATGGCGCTTTGTTTATCAATTCTGATTGGTAAAATTGTCTAGTTCACATGAATCACCTACATACTACGTGCCAAAAGAAGAAAAAGGGACACCAAAAGAAAAGTTCGATTTTTTTTCTTCTTCTGTTTTTTTCAATATGTCAATACATTTGATGTATTTATGGAAATAGTCTGAATGTATTCATATATTCTCAATAATAATAAGCATGTTTTATTATTTAATATACATTCTCATATTGTTTATTGTTCAAAATACATCTGAACAATATTTATTAGGTACTCATTTTTATGTTAATCAAGATAATATACTCATTGATAATACATTAAAAACAGTATCAACATTAGCACGTCCATATGATCTTGTTGCATTCATTGGTCAATCAGAACGTTTAGCACGTATTGATTATTTACAAACATATATTGATTCAGTTGATGATGTTGTTGATTTATCTTCACAACAACAACAACAACAACAACAACAATCAAATCAAATCAATAATTATAAAGAGGATAATAATGAACATATAGAGAAATGTAATAGTTTTATAAATAATGGTGAATCATTAATATTTAAAATTCTTAAAACAAATCTTTATGATATATTTCATATACCATTTGAATTAAAAAATATTTCAAATAATTATACAAGTAATGAAAAATTTAAAACAAATATTTTATCATGTAATCATTTTTGTTATATCAATACGAGTAAGTGAGGTTGCTTGTTTGTTTTCATCTGAATATATTTTCTTCTAAAGGTCTTCTAACATTTGATCATTTACCAAGTATTTCAACACGTTATGATGAACAACAACCTATACGTATTGATGATGAAGAAATAAATAATATCACATTAGTAAATTATGATAAACAAGCTCAATGGTCAATTAATGAATTATATCATAATCGAACATCCTGGTTAGCATATGTTTATTTAAGTCGATATTTTAATTCAAATATTTCATATAATAATGCTATTGATTGTTTACGTTGTGCACTTATTTATGGTTCAAATTATGATGATATTATATTAATTGAATTAGCTAATATTGTTTTTCGTTATGGTTATATACGTGATGCAATTATATTTATTGAACGAGCATTAGATTATCATTTAAGATTAAAAACATCAAATGTTATATCATTATTTATTCGTTCAATATTACATTATTATTTAGGAAATCTATGTACTATTGATAATAGATTTTTATTAGCTATACAATTTTATAATCGAACGAAACTTTTATTAGAAAGAATTATAAAAATTAATGATGAACAACCATTAGAAATGTAAGTAAACAGATGAAACTTTCAAAATTAATGACCTAAGAACCAGTTAAATTTCAGAAGGAATTACGAATTAATAGATCGAGTTTTTCATTTGATTCATAACGAATAGTTTTGATCTATTGAAAGAATTTTCCGGTTAAAATAATATTTCCAATTAAGATCATTATTGAAGGCGACCGATCAAATAATATCCTAAAGAGTTCGGAATTTTCATAAAAATTTGTTAATATTTTCTGTTCAGAAGAAAAAATTTTGAAAAAATAATAATTCAACATTCTAATCAAAATATTTAAATTTTTTCGTATATTATTCGATAGTTAATTATGTGATACGTAGTTCTAATTTTGACAATTCATTTGATGATAGATTATGTTAGACGTAAAGTGATAAAATGCAAATGATATATTTCTATAGAGATAAATCAATGTTTTAATTTCAAGAATATCTAAAAATGGATAACATCACAATGATTTTTAGAAGTTCGTGAAAAGTTTTTTATTATTTAATATTGTCTGTTATAAATGAATACAACGTTTGAAAAACAAATGATCTTTAATTTAAATTTCTAGTCTTTCATCATCTTCTCTTGGTTCATTATCAATTTCATCATTATTGTCAATATCTCAACAAAAAATCGATGCACTCGGTTGTCATTTAACATTAGAATTATCATTACAACGTAAACATCATATATTACAAACAAAATTAGCTCAATTAAATCAATTACGATCAATAACTGATGAATTAATACATTTAAATAGTCTTATTAAACGTGATATGTCAAATGGTCAATCATTTATTGATTATTTACGTCAATTAAAAGATGAACAAAAACAAATAATTTGTGATTGGAAAAAACCAAGAAAACAAAAATCAATTAATAATCAACTATCTAATAATTTATGTTTAAATAGAAAAAAATATTCAACAATAATGAAACAAGAAGAATATTGTTCTATTGATGAAAATTATTCATTTATAATAAAAACAATACATAATACAATTATTGATAATTATGATTGTCGACCACGAGATAATATTATTAATACTGATGAAGATATTAATATTAAAGATAGACAATTATTGAATAAAAAACAAAGTCTTATGTCATGTAAGTTATACATAAAAAAAATTTATTTTTATTTGTATTAGTTTTAATTTAATTGAATTAATACAAACACTTAATGTCTTTGTTAAGAGAAATATATCAGTTTATATATTAAAGTAATTTTACTTTATTGTGTAAGGTAGAGTTATATTTTTGTATTTCTAATTTGTGAGATGAAAGAAAATATTAATCGAAATTACGTAAGACAATTAACAGTGTTATTAAGTAACTGATTTTTATTCTTCTCTTATATGTCATTATTCGAGATAACTTTTATAAAAGAGAAAAAGAGCACTGGGATCAAATAACAGACAAATAGTTTTAAGTGAATGTTTATAAAAAAAAAAACAAATTCTTCCTATATCAATATCAAAAATATATTGCACTCATTTGTCCTTGTTTTATATGTTCATATCATGTCAATCTGCTATCCAAAAACTTTGAAACTTCCACCTCAACTGATAAACAGTTCGGGGTCGTAGCTTATTCTCGCGTAGATACTGCAAATTTACGATATATGAAAATAGTTTATCGTGAAAAATGTAAGTCTTTTAATTTGCTTCTATGATGAAATCAGAACATCGAATCTATCGTTATATATGAGTAATATTAAAGACATGCTTTTACTATAGCTTTATCTTAATAAGATCTGAAACATTTACAAGAAACTATTCTCGTTAAGAACCGTTGATGTGCAAAGATTCAAGTCGAAATTCGAAAATCAGTGTACTCGTGGGGAACCACACCATTCATTTAAAAATTATCGTACAAGTTCAGTATCTTAGCAGCAATAAACTAAGGACTAGAATCATTTTCAAGATATTCATCGTTCATTTGGTTTCATATAATACTCATAGTCTCGACTCAAAAATGATTTATAATTTCGAAGATTTCTCTCATAAGAAGATGATTATAACTTTAGTTTTCTTCTTTTTAAAGTACGTCTTGCTGCTATTGAACAAACTCAATCATCATATGTATTAGAAGATGATGATAATCGTATTGATTCTATTAAAACAACTGATCAAATAACATTAGCATCAACAACAACATGGCCAACATTAACATCACGTTTACCAACAGATGTTATTATAGAACCAAAAAAAGAATTTATTTTAAAACAATTAAATGAACTTTATCCTCCACTTAAACAAAATATTGTTATTAAATTAAATGAACAACAATTACCGACATATAAAGATTGTCAAATACACTATTATGGTTTACCATCTATAGGTGATTATCCAACAGTATGGTTACCATTAGAAAATAAAGGTTTATTAAATATAAAACAAGCATTTTATCAAGGTCTTGATCATGAAAAAAAACATTATCCACTTCCATGGTCTCCACCAATATGTACATTATATAAACCAATAAATGAACGTTTATCAATTATTGAAAATCATCCTGTATTAATGCGTTCATCACGTATAAAAGCACCAATAAATCGTTATGATACAAATATGTTATTAAATTTATATTTTTATATTGATTCAATAATTGATGAACAATTACCAATTGAAGAATTTGGTCAACGTTTAAGATCAGTTGGAGAAAAACATGAATATTTATTACCAGAATGGATTGTTCATTTATTATCATCACTTTATTGGCGTGTTAATGGACATTTACCACATGCTATTGATTGTGGATTAAAAGCACATGAAATAATTATTAAAAATAAAGTTTATAAACAATGGAGTGATTTAACACTTATTAATCTTGCAAATATTTTATATCTTTGGTAAGTAAAATTGATTAAAGTTTATCGAAATGAAATTAATTGGAGAATCAATAACTGACTTTTTTTTTTGTTTGTGGACCGTTGACTCACTCATAACAATTCCAGAAGAGTAAATGATGAAACAAACATTGAAATAGAATATGGATATTTCAAATATATCGATCACAGATGTCCTCGTTTGATCACTCTAGTGATCATTGAGGGGAAGAACGAATTGACAAAAATTCTATCTGAGGTCTTCCGAAAATCTTTTTTAGTTTAACAAGAAAACGTTGAAGATATCTCATTTTGTAGCGGATGATTTGTTCCACCATTTCGTATGATATGAACAAAATTTTATGCCCAAGCTATAGACACTGAAATACTAAAGGTTTGGTGTTTCTGCAAAAATTCGTTTGTGACTATTCGATGTTTTACCATTTCTTTTCTATCTAGCTTCTATGAAACTTTCTAATGGCATTTATACTATGAGAGAGATGAACAGAATTACCCTATTCTACCTTATGTTTTAAAAAAGATCTCATTTTTATGTAATATGGCTTTGTTTCAATGATTTTCTTGTGTAAAATTAAATCTTAGGATTTATTTTTTGACAATAAAAAAGTTTTTTTGATATATAGGGGTAAATATGAAGATGCGCTTGATTTAACTGAACAAGCTTATTCAATAAATTCTCATGAGCCAATAACAAATTATTTCTTGGGAAATTTATTAGCATTAATAAAAAATAATCATACAGCAGCACAAGAATATTATCGACGTACATTAACAATTGATCCAACACATATATATGCTCGACGACAATTACGTCTTAGTTATTGTTATACAATGTATACTGCATGGGAAATTATGAGTTGTTCAAATGATAAAAATAATTATCATAAAAATTCAATATCAAGTGAAAGTATGAAACATAATTTGATGTTGTCTAATCAAAATTATAAACTACATGATAATACTATGTCTATAGCTAACAGTGCTGCATATTTATCTTATCATTATCGAACTACTCAATGTATGCTGGAATTTTTTTGTTTTTGATTTAATCTATTGCATTTAATATATTTTGTTTTGTCTTTCATTTTCATTGTGAATATTAAATATTTATTTCTTGTTTTTATATTCAATTTTAGGTCATCAATCAATTGTTGATAATCGTTCATCAATTAATCGTTGGCTTAATCGTTCATGTTTAATATCAACAATTAAACGTGATGAATTATTAAATGATGCACAACGTGCTTATCGTTTATATGGTTTATGTTCATCATCATTAATAATTAATAACAATAATAATAATAATAATAATCGTATAAATGATGAATGTTCACAAGGTTATGCTGTTACAAATTATGGTAATGATATTGGACATATAATTATAATATATGATAATTTAAAACAAACATTTGATTATACATTTTTATTTACAAATGATTATAGAAATATCTTTTTAAAAGAAAGTAAATTAAAATGTATTATTTATGGTACAGGTAGAAAATCTTCAAAATGTTATGATTTAAATATAATTGATCCAAATGAATTAAATTCAAAACATAATATGACATGGTGGCGTGATCCATCAACATTATATGAACATTTAAAAGAACTTATTGAAATAATGAATTATGAGTATGAATTAAATAATAATACACAATTATTAAATAATAATGATAATGATAATGATAATATTTATGAAAAATATTTTTCTGATTATTATATTTTATCAAAAGAAATTCAAGAAAAATATTTATTAAATAATTATATTAATATTGATAAAAATGATTGTATAAATAAATCATTAATAACATATACACCTTATTTATCAACATGGATATCACCACAAACGAAAAATATTTATTTAAATTATACATTTTTTAAACAAATAAAAAAAGATAATTATGAATTAAATCAACCAATTTGTTTATATCCATTTATTGAACAAATAAATACAACGAAACATATTCAAATACTTGATTATATTATTAAAAAAGCTAATGAAAATTTAACTTTATATCGATCAGAAACCATATTAAAACCAATTTTATTAAATTTACTTTTTGAAAAAAATCCAACAACGATGAATAAAGGAGGTAAAATTTTAATAGAATTGAAAAATTCATCAAATATCTTTATTTTCATTCGAGAAAATAAAGATCACAAAAATTTTGATCGATTGATAACTGTTATGATAAGAATCGACAGTAGATTATCCATCAGAGAATAATTATCAGAATATTGCAATAAAAAAAAGTGGTAGTATAACTAAGGGTGGACTAAGTCGGGGCCGTTCGACCACCGGAAAAAAGAAAAACGTACAGATTACTATCATTGACAGAATCTTGTATAGACTGCCTCCAAGATCGTAGAACACTGCTCTATCATCCACGATCTCTCGGCTATTCGACTAGAATGAAGTTTCGAAGATAGTCGACCGTACAAGTATCAGACTAGCCCCGGTTGATTGCTGGGTATACCAGCGGATTTTTATATGACGTATTTACTCAACATCGTATTTATGTAATTCCAGAAATTTTAGCAATTTAAATTTCATGATTGAAGTATACGTTTAATTAATTAGTTCGAACATTATAGTTTGAAGATTAAACTATTTTATTCATTATTGTTGGACTGTGAATATTTTAATATTCTTTCGGAAAAACTAATGTTAACATTGCATTTTTTTAATCCTCCAATCATGGAATGATTCTAGTGTTTATGAAGAGCGCAATAACTCTACGTCAGGTCTGCCTTCTGTCAAGTGCTACAGGTATTATTCATTGTAGAGGAGATGTCGGACTATTGAATCTGCCGCTAGGCAGCATCTCATACTACTATGATACTTCTCTTTGTATACCATATTACTATATATAATATTGTTCAATCTGAAACATGATTAGAATCGAAATAAATACTTTTTTTTTTGTTTAGAAATCATTTAAAACTTTAATACATTGCTGGAGACTTTTTTGTGTTCATTATTAATGTGTAAAACTAAAAACCTTAGTTTTATTTCTCAATCATTCATTTATTTGACAATATATAAACATATTTCTTTATTTTGTTTTAGGTGATGATAAAGTATTAATTGGATCTTTTCTTGCTGCTGGTCTCAATTCACCTGTTTACAATACATCTTGGCTTTTTTTTCATACAATATCACTCTATTGGCGTCTTATGGGTAATGCATCTCAAGCACTTAATTGTCTTTTTCAATCTTATCTATTATCACCATCAAATGTACAAGATTTAACATATCTTTCAATGGCATTATTGCTGTATAATAGTCAATTAAATATAAATGAAGCTATTTATTTATTATATGAATCATTATCAATTGATTCTCATAGTCTTGTTCTTACACATTTTACATTAGGTAATGCGATGGCAAGAAAAGGTCATTTAGATTTAGCTGAACAATGGTATCAATCAACACTAAAATTAAAACCAGACTTTGAACCAGCTAAACAACGTCTACGTGCTATTCAATGTTGATTACCTTATAAATGTGTTGCTTTCTTTCTCTTTTCTTCCGTCCAAAAAAAATTTTTTTTTTCTTTCGGCTCCTGGTTCTTTTTTTTTGTTTTGTATTATTTCGGTTGAACAGTCACCTGTGTGGTTTGTGTGTCAGACAATTTCTTTCGAATCTCAACTATCGAATGAATAATAAAAAATCTGTTGATTTTTTTTTCAGATTAGATTTTACGTTTTGTTTTTGAAATTCAATTCACTACGATGAGGTGGCCTATTTGTGGACCAAAATTATCTTTATGTTTTTCGATTATATCAGTTTGGGGTATTATACAATTAATGTTCATGGGTATATTTTTCTTTGTTCAAGCTGCACCATTATTAGATGATTTTGATATTAATGGTGAATACACCAGCAAAGAATCGTTTGAAAATGATCTTAAAAATGCATATAGTCAACGTGCATATAATTGTTGGATAGCAGCATTTCTTTATGTTGGTTTATTGATATTTGCTGGTTCACAATTTATGACAAATCATAAACAATTATCAGGATCAAATATTCCAACATCTATGGCATCACCATTTCTTGGTATAACAACAGAAGAGAATGGTTTTAGTCGACAATATGGAATGCAATTTAATGAACAGAATGATTAAGAAATGAAAAAAATTTAAATGAAAAAAAATTTTAACAGTGACATAGTATTTTATTTTTATGTTGTATATGTGTTCATATAAGAGAATCAAAAATAGTCTCTATTTGTTGTATTGTTTGTAAAACGTAAATTGGTTTGGACTATTTATCGTTTAAGAATTAATAAATTTGACGTGTGTGGAAAATATTATCGAAATTTATTTTCCTAGTTGATACTTAAATCATTAGTAATATTGATCGAGGCTTAATTCATTTGACCATCGACTTACGGAATACAGGTCAGAGGTCTCATCAATGGGCTGGACCGAGTCCAGCCCCAGCCCACAGGTGGAAATATTTTTGAATAGAAAGCCATGGACTGAACCGAGCTGATTCGATATTGCGATGAGCGCTAGACATGGCCAAAATCGATATTTTTGGGAATTAGAATCTATCGGAATCGGGATTGAAACTGCCAATTTCGATTCGAAGTCGCCGCTCATGGACCAGATCTTGAATAATATTCAAAATTTTCAAAAGATGTTGCCTATTTCCACGAATTTTTTTCCCAAAATCTCATCTAAGTCTTCCATTGGCTAAAACATTTCTGTAATGAACAGTAAATAAACAAATCAAAAGAACAAGAAAAAGATACAATTGTCTTCACCTTAAAAAGTTTTCTTTATTTTCAATGAAATGTACTTGTCTAGGTCTCCTCATTCATCATGAATTACTTTTTCTAATTACTGTATGAAGCACTGTATAGTACAGTACATTTCTCTAATTCTGTTGGAAAAATTTTACCATTTTTTGTTTCAACTAGTGTGCGACTATCTTACATCCGATCACAAACATTTTTATATATCCGTAATCTCTGGATTCTCCTCTTTCAAACGATATATTGTTGGCCTTACGTTTTTCCTGTTTTCATAGTGGAATTATCAGCCTATGAAAAATAGCTGCACCTGACAGAATTAGGTTGTACCTCCCTAATCCGGACGACCAGCAAGAAAATTTCCCTAATTCTAACGCCTCTATCAAATTACATAGAAAAATTCAATTTGCGAAAAAAGTCTCTTTTTCTCAATTTTTTCATGAGAAAGAAAGCATAGGTGTTTGAGACATTTTTGTAGAGCGAATCAAGCTCTATCATAGTCTAAAGGTTCAAGACAACTGTGTTTTCTTTTACCAAGATACAGATCTTGGAATGAAGGCATCCAAGGGTAATGAAAAAAAAGTTGTCCCTAATTCTGACGGTTCAGCCAATTTTTATTCCTAATTCTGGGTGTGGGTGTGAGGTATGGGTGTAATCGTCTGTAGATGCGTCGTCAGAGAAGTACAAGATCCACACCCACACTTCACATCACATATCCACACCCGCATCCACACCCTGGTTCTAAAACAAAATTAATTTTATGAAAAAGATAAAATCAATCTCGTTTATTATGATGAGTTTTTCTCAAATATAAATATTGATCACGTATTTTCTTTTTAAATAAATCTTTATCTTGAATTGTTCATGAATAATTCCAATCAAAACCATTCAAACGAGATAAATATGCTTGCAATTGTAAGTCAAGAAACTGTGTACGTAATGATCATATTCTATTTGTTCCTTATTTATGTATTTCACCTTGATTAATAAATTGAATCTTAATATGAAAAATTTTTATTATCAAAAATTTTTTATTAATAACATCTATCCATGCAAAACTTGTTGCAGATTTAAATTCTCATACATATGCACGATACCAATGTGATTGATAACTAGACTCCTGCGTGACCGCCGTGACCGCCGTGACTCACGGTCACG